TAATCTTTTTCAAAATTTCTTGACGCTGAACATGAGTCTTTTTTTTTCTTCAAAATTTAAAATAATGAATCTTTTTTTACAAAATATAAACTTATGGGTCAAATTTAATATTTTAAAAAAATAAATTAAAATCACGATTTGGAATCCCAAACCATGTTTTCAAAATAAGTGAATTGTTGAGACATTTTTCATAGTTCAAATTATTCCTTAACTTAATTGTTCAATCTTCAGGAATAATTTTTAAATTTTCTTTCATTTTTACCTTTTATTTGGATTTCCTATGTGATGAGTTCAAAAAACTTTAATTGTTTTAAATTACTTGGGAGTAATTATCATGATCAATGTTTGGTCTTTCTACAGACGACAGAGTAATTTGACAATAATTAAAAAGTAAAAATGGAAAGTAATGACTAATTAATGTCTTAATATTCTTTTCTTGAAGAGTGATATTTCAACAATTCACTTATTTTGAAACGGAGGAAGTATATAACATATAGTACCCCAATTTGATACCTTCTTTTCATAATTAAGATAGTGGTATGGTGCCAAACCTCCTTAACTTACCTTATTCTCTTCACTCTTTTTCTTTGTTTAAGCCTACTTCCTTGAGCTATGTATTTAATATGTACATGTTTCATGTGATAATCGAATTTTTTGGTTACAGTAGCGTTGTGTGAAAAGCTACCATTGATTCTTTAAGAAAACATGTGAGAATTTATCTGCACCGATCACCTACAATTTCAAATTGAAATCATGTCCCACTTTATTCTCCATTTCTACAATTGGTCATCATGTGATTGTTAAATTAGGCTTTGGGCCTAAGGTTCAAAGGCAAGGAATTGTCCAAGTTTTTATAAGGAGTCAATCGATATTTTGGAGCACAGAACAAAGGGGGCAGAAAACTACTTCTTTTCCCGAGAGAATTTGCGGTTAGGATGGAAATTATACCTAGTTTGCTCTACTTGGCTCTAGGACGGGAGATACAAATGCATTCGGGTTAATTAACATATCATCACTTAATAATATAGAGAGGATTAGAGGTTGAATAGAGCGTGATCATAATATCAACCTCATGAGTCAACTATTTGATATTTATTAGCGTGACAATTGAAGTATAGATATGATGTGATTGAGCAAAAATGTCACAGCCATGTATATTTGCATGTGCATTGAAACTGGCAACAAATTTGGCTCATGTTGAGTCTGACTCTGATAACATATTAAATTAGACATTTAGCTTAACTCACACCTCAAAACTAGCTGTAAGGGAGAATGATTATCCAAGTCTTATAATAAGGCCCAAGAACCTCTTTTTCATCGATGTGGGAGTTTCTCCATTCAATGGTATTATGAAAATTCTTAAGAAATTTTAGGACAAAGAATACCATTTTGTTTTTGATGAAGTCCCACAACGGTTCTGGGATAGAAAATTAGTCTCCCGTTATGATTGACAATTGTCAACCTTGAGGTCCATTTTTTTAAATATGACGTTAGAGTCAGTTTCATTTCAATTTTTTAAGGATTAATTACTTGAGTAGATCCCTTTTAAAAAATAATTACTTATTTTAAATATACTCTTTAATTATTACCATTTATAGCAATAACTAACAATACTATGTGTTTTAATTATATTTATTTTTCTTTCTTGCCTCTTTCTTTTTTTTGTCTCTAGCCTTTTCAAATTTGTCTCTCTTTCTCGCTCTTTATCCCTTTCCTTCTTTCTTTCTATTATTCTTTCTCCATTTCTTTCTTTCTTTCTGTACGTTATTCTTTCTCCATTTCTTTCTTTCTGTACATTGTTCTTTCTCCTTTCTTTCTTTATGCTGCTCTTTCTCCCTCTCTTTCTATTGTTCTTTTCTCCCTTTCTTTCTCTCTCTGCTTTCTTTCGTATAGTAGTCAATAATTCGTAGACAAAATAAAATTTGTATCAATAATTAGTTGGACAGGTAATCTAATCATAACACATTAAGAGATATAATAAACTGCAAAATGAATTAAACTTGAATTAAAAATGTATTACACACATATTAAAGTTGAATTAGATGAGAATTAAACATGAATGCAAAATATAGCAAACGAAAGAGCATTCTATGATCTGTAAACTGAATAAAACTTGTATCAATAATGAATTAAACAAGTAATCAAATAGTAACAAATCAACCAAAAA